AAAAAAAAAAAAAAAAAAGTCAAGGGCTCTCCTCAGTTTCTTTCAAAATCCTCCATGTTCCCTGGTTCCCTATTTTTCTTGTATTTGGCCTCTTTGGCCTCAATTTTCTTTCCCTTGTCATGTTTTTCTTGCCTTCTTACTTCTCTTTCCCCTCTTATCCTTTCTTTTCTTCTTCTTCCTTTATTTCTTTCTGTTCATTCCCTTCTCTGGGCCTGTTCCCCCGCTCCCGCCTCTTTCTCCCCCTTCTCTTCCTCTGTCTCTCTCTTCTGTCCATCTCTCATGTGCTCCGACTTTCTCTTCTTATCCTCTCAGTTTCCCTCTTATTTTCCAGCCTGACCCTCATCCTCCACTGGATAAGACACCATTATCAGAAGCCCCATGTATTGGTCTCTGGAAGCAGACACATTTTCTGGAGTTGCCAGGACAGATCGCAGTCCTGGAGAGTCAGAGAGGAGCCCGGCTTTTGGCGAGGTCTCGACCTTCACCACACACAGACACACAGGCACACACACTCTGCAGGTGGGAAGAGAAGGGGCTGCTATTGACCTGCCCTGGAGATTCACCCAGAGGAAAGTAGGGCTCTTAAAAATAACATCAAAGTGGGGAACATAGAATCAAACTTCAGGGAGAAAGAAGAGAGAACTTTCTTGAGTCAAGTTTCTTTCCAGCTGCAGGACAAGCAGGCTTCCCAGTTCCTACACAGATTGCAAATCCTTCAACCTGCACCAAGACATGGAAGGAGCCAGGCCAGGAGAGCCTAACTCACCGCCGTGCCTTCCCCACTTCCAGCCCCAGCTTGAGCCTAGAGGTCCATGGTCTTGTGCCCCCTTGCCACCCGGCAGGGGGCTCCCTTTTACACTCATGCTTGGTGGTGGCTTGTGTCCTAGCAGCACCCCACCCTCTATCAGGCCCTCAGCTTAGGGATTGGGTGGCCGTCCCCCTTTTTAAAGAGCAGGCAGCTTATTCCCTGACTGCGTCCTAGTAACACCTGAAAGCTCTCTGATTGAGCTGATTGGAGGAAAACAAGAGCGGTCTCTCTAGTTCTGCCCCCTCCTGCTCTCCTGCCAGTACTTCCTTCTTTCCATTCAGCTTCCTCCTGCTTCCCGCACACCCCATAGTTCACCGAGGCCGAAGAAGAAGGGGTTGAGTGAAAGGGGTGCTTCCCGAAGAAGTCTCCTCTCTGCTCTCCACAGTGGTGTCAGGAAGTGTGCCAAACGGGAATGCCACTGACTGTGCCCTGAGGATTTTGCAGGTAACTCGGTGAGAGGGCTTTTCCCAGACCCCCGAGGAACCACCTTTCTCACTAAAGGTGTGTCTTCTTAGGTGATGTTTACAGTAAGTGAAGGGTAGGCTTTTGTTTAACATATCTTTACCAGGACACATGACTTGCTGAGGATGGGTCACTAAATTTCCAAAGAACACTCCCATTGCGACCCACCAGTACCCATCCAAAGCTGTATGATTAACTGAGCATGTATGATTAACTCAAAGCTCATCTGAGAGAGTGAAACACAGCAAAGAATCATCTGTGGGGAAACCAACCACAGCACTGTTTATAACTGACAAACAGCAAGGAACCTCAATTTCCAAGAATAGGGGTTTGATTAAATAGTGTATCATCCAAATGATGTACCATTGTGTAACCAGGAAAATGAGATTTTAGAAGAATAATTAGGGATAGGGAAAGATGTTTATGTTCTAATAATATTTGGAGAGGCAGGCTGCAAAGCATCATTTCTGAGTAAAATTATAGTACCTTCACCTGTATAGAAATCTAGAAATATAAATACAAACTGTCAGTTATTGTTTTCAGATGAGGAACTGGATGTGACTTTTACTGTAGTTTCTGATTTAAATAAATAGAGAAAGGCAAGCACACAGATTTGCTTTTGGCTAAGTGTCAAAGGCAAGAGTAATATGGGGGGCTCCGCAGCAAACATGGGCTATAAAAGGAGGGCACCTAGCTACAGCTCTGAGTCTGGCACTCAGCTGGGTGGTTCGGATTTGCCCAGGCTCATGTTTCCCAGGTGAACATGTAAACGAGGGCAGTACTTGACTCACGTGGTTGTCAGTGAGCATTCAGTAGGCAATGGAGATAAATCACTTCACATGGTGCAGAGAGGAACACAACAAATACTAAGTATATGTGGCAGTCAGTGTAGATACATACAATCAAGCACACCCGAGTTTGCTACCTTGTGAGTTAATTGATCTGTTTTGACAGGTGGTGGCTGAGGATTACAGTAAAAGGAGGGGAGGTTATTTAGTGTTGATGCCAACTGGATGGCCAGAGTCCACCACTGGTAGGTGACAGAGAGGGTCCAGAGTCACCGAGTTCATGGCTGAACTGGTTTGAGACCCAGTTTCCAGGCTTCACTCTGGCCCTCTTTGGCTGCGTCACGGGGGTCTTCTTGCTTAGAGCTGGTTTTGGAGGAAGCTCACCTGAGTTTCCTGAGTTGCCTGCAGCTCTGAGATAAGATGTATAAAGTGGGGTCTGACTTAAGAGGCCTTGTCCATTTCGCACCTCCGTTTTGTACCCAGAGTCGGGGGGGGGGCGCGGTTTACAGCGTCTTGTGCCCTCTCAGGCCTTCCTCTCAGGGTTAGACCTTTAGGCCAGGGTGTCCTAAGAGCCCCAAGGGGCCCCTCATTCCAGGCTTTCCTGAGCACTGGCTGGACGTCTTGCAGTGGACAGCAGAAGCTGCCTACTTTCACTGTCCAGGTCAGGCTTCAGAGTCAGCCCCAAAGGCCTCTTGGCTAGATCCAGGATCTCTGGTGAAAGAAGTATCTCACTTTGTGAATGAAGGAATTTTAGAGTGTTTGAAATTTCCCAGGAATGAAAATTCAACTCTGAGAAGATGCATGTCTAATTTCAGAGAAAAAAACCCAACAAAATGATAAAAAGGAAAAGTAGAAAAGCCAGAATCTGATCCACAGAGGAATACTCGGGATACAGTTTACCTACTCCAGTCCAGAGAGAAGCCTTCTTGCATGAGAAAGACCGTATAGACTGAACCTCATATTGGGATATCAGGGACAAGGCAATAGAACCTTAAAAGCATGGGTTTTAGGGTTGGGCAGAGCTGAGTTCAAATCTGTACTTTGCTATTTGGTAGGTGTATTTGGTAGCTTAGCCAAGTTTCTTAATATCACAAGGCTTTTGTTTGCTTATCTATAAAATGGGCACACAAATACCATCTGTCTTGGAGAATTTGAAGGGAAAAGTGATGTACTGCGTGTAAAGTTTATAGCCTAAGGTCTGGCAAAGGCACATAATGAGAGGGATGATGAATGCTGTGAATGACTGGACCCTAGAAAGGAGAGGTCTCCCTAGGAGGGAGGCCCAGCATCACCTTCCCCTCCATTGGTTTTTCCCTTGGGAAAATCGTGCCATCGGGAGCAATGCACTTCAGGAAGGAGGAAGGGCCTGCCTCTCTTTCTGGAACGTGTGCCTAGAAATCAGCTGCTGATAGTGCCAAGTCCGAACACCCAGGCTGGCTGAAATCCTAAGAGAAGGGAAGCCCCCCGCCCCCGACTGGCTAACCAGGGCCACCACCTGTGGCTCTGACCTTCAGGAGGTGGAGAATTGTGCTCTTTGAGAGGCTTGATCTGAATCCATCTAACTGTGTGTGTGCGCGCGCGCGTTGACTGGGTTCTCTGGACCACGTTGTGAAGGATCCAGTGCCCTGCTTAGCACTGAGGACACAGGCAGAGGGTGGGTGTGTAACCACAGAGATGGAGAAAAGCAAGTGGGAGCTGACCTGGATGAAGGTCCGCTGTGGCTGCTGCTGGATCACAGAGCAGGGAGTAAAGAGGTCAGCCTTGGCGCCGAACTCTGTGTTCCTCAAACCTGCTTCTACTCCTTAGACACTCTGATACCTTAGGTTGTAATGAAATGATTCTGGGCCCTGGTTTTTCCATCTGAATGAGAAAATCCAGCCACTTCTGAGTGTAGCTGTGAGGACTCAATGCTAGGAATGCTCAGGAAACACCAGCCCTCCTTAGGGATGCAGGAGCCACAGAGATGAGAGTTGCTGAAAGTCTACCAGCCGGGGCTGCAGAAGTCCCAAGCTCATGGACCTTATTTGCTTGATCCAAAATCCACCTTTGTAGGGGCTTAGCTTTACATTTTCTTTCTCCTCTTTACACACAAAACACATGTAGCTTCTAAGTTCCCAGGAGTCTGGCAGAGTCGAAACAGCTTGGGGTGGCGAATCAGGATTAGGGACGAATTTAAACTCTGTGCCAGTTTCCTTATTTATAAAACGAGGACAAGAAATGGTATTTCTACCTATCGGCCACAGTTCTCTCTTACCTGGGCTTCCTGTCCTGCCTGGACAGCAACATTCATAAGGATTGTCTTGGGGGTGCTTTGGGGCTTGTCATGGGGATGGCATCTCTGTCCCAAGAGCGGGCTTTGCGGAAGTTGAGCTGAGGCATTAGTGGGGCTTAAGGTGATCCTGGTACCCAAAGACTTTTTTTTTGCTGGGGGAGTCTATTGAGCAAGAACCTGAAGAAACACAGGTCAATGCTGCCCTCTGGTGGTCTTCTCTTTAAAGGCAGGACATAGAGAACACGGATTGGGTGAAATTTCGGGGGGAGAGCAGAATGAGAAGGAAGCCTGACATTCCCAGGGTGAAGAGTACTTCAAGAAGGAAGCATGTGCTTTTGTTGCAGTGGGAATGGTGAAAACTGGCTTGGAAACGAGGTCATGTCTTAGCAGGCAGCCGAGCAGCAGTTGAACAGGATGGATACGAACCTGATTCCTGTGACTATGTTTTCCGAATGCCTTGACATTGTTTAATCTGAGTCTGCTCACCTGTAGAATGGCTGTTGCAAGGACTGAATGAGAAAATGCCTCTGTGATAAGGCCTGGCTGTCGTTCATCTCTCCATTCAACAAAAGCCAGATGGTTTTTGCCCTTTCTGGATTGGTGGTCAGGACACTGTCTTGTAGTCACACAGTTTAGAGGCTCGTATTTCTCATGCATTTTGCCACGGCTGGGTCGTGTCTGTGGTTTGATTTACCTATAGTTTTTAATTGGCTTTCTATTTTTTTTAAAAAATGTAGTGAACTTTAAAGATAAATTCTACATAACTTCTACAAATGGATCATCAGTAGCCAGCATTATCCCTTGCCATAAATTAAACAAGAATAATTAACCTTAAACCTTACTGTGCTGGGTACAGCCTGAACTCACCCGATTTTATAAGCAGCCATAATCATGCACAACTCTCTTAGGATTTTTTTTTCATGAAAGAGTTGAATTTAACAAAAACAGTATGGTCAGTTTTGCTTTTTATTTGTTAGAGTTTGGGTTATTAACACTTATTTTTATGAGATATTTACTAAGAACTTCTAAGTAAAGAGGTTGCCTTAATATTTTATAATTTGTTATTAAAGTCTGAGAGTGGTACCTGCTCTGTGTTTGGCAGATTTCTATTCTTGCTTTTTCTGGGCTCTCCTGATTTCAGTGCACAGGAGAAGCCTGTCCCTAACTTTCTGCCCCAGTCCCATGAAGTGGACAATTTCCTCACTGCCAAGTGTGGGGTTCATTCCCAAACCCACTCTCTCCCTTCTGAAGCCTACTTCAGGCAGGAGTCCTTGGGGTGTTTGGAGCTGTTCTGTCTTCTGCTTCTAGCCCTCATTACCCTCTTACCCTCTGTCTCATCTTCCAAAGCATTCAACTTCTTAACCCCTGACTCATGGCTGTTTAATGGTGTGTTCCCTATCCTGGGAACACTGCATTTCGCAGAGCAAACTAATAATTGCTTCTTACTGAATAGTCATGCACTGCATTGCAATGTTTTGGTCAGTGATATATCGTGTAAACAATCAGTCCCATTATAATGGAGCTAAAAATTTCCTATTGCTTGGTGACATATTAGTACTGTGATAATGTAGCCCAGTGCATTCCTCATGTGATGTGGAGATGCTGATGTATGCTGCCAGTGATAAGAAAGCATAGCACCAACAATTATGCAGAAAACATGGTTCTTGATAGTGACCATAGATTACTAGCCCCCTGGTTTGTGTGTACTGTGCTGAACTTTATGTTACAGTGATCTCCTTCTACTTGCAAAGTTAACCATAAAACAGTGTGCAGTGTGACACCAGCTGCAGCCTTATCCAGCTCATGGTCATCATGTCCCTTGTTCGCACCAAGAGGCCATGCTGAATGAGTGGCCCGGGCCATATAGGTTTCTGCAACTATAACCTGTAATGCTCGCTTGATGATGAAGTGGCTGACGATGC